AATGCTTTATCATTTTCCATTCTGTTTATGTAGGTAGGCCCTTGTATGAAACTTCAATTTGTCTTTAATGTATTTCTCTGGCAAGTGACTTAATCTCGTCAGTTGGATTTTGTTTTGAATCCCCTGATAGTTCTCTCTCACAGTTGGGAGGAAATGGGACAATTATTCTTGCAATCTTAAAGTTTTGTATTCTGTGCACATAGTAAAGAATTATTTTCCTAGTGGATTTAATGAGATTCTTCTCCCTGAAAATCAGGGCATTTTACCTTCAAGACAATATGATAAGTTTAGGAACTGGCTGCTCACATCCTTGTCTGTGACAGTCACATCTGAAATGAAGGATAATACAGATGGCCTCTATCACAGATCCTGCAATGAGCTGTGGCCCTTGGGCTCTGATTTCAGCAACACTTCAGCCAGAGCACTCCAAAATTAAAGCCAGAGTTTAAAATCTGTAAACTCAGAGCCAACAAGATAGCTCAGTGGACTAAGCTCCTGCTTAGGTAAGCAAAGGGACAAGGTTTAGTTCCCGGCACCACATGCTGCACCAGCCCCGCCTCTGGGGAATACTGAGCCTGCAACAGAGATTGGGCATGGTGGTGCACACCTCTAATCCTGAGCTGTGTAGTGAGACCCTGTATCAAATACGTTTTTTAAAAAATCTGTAAACTCTGCAGATCTTAAAATCCATTGCAGCCAAGCTTTGGTAGTAAAATCCTGAAAATCAGAAGTTATTTAATTATGAATCATGCCACTTATTATATCACCAGCCTTATTTTCCCTGGAATGTCTGTGTGAATGCAATTCACTATACACGTCTAAAGAATAGTACATTTACTTCACAAATCTAAAATCTTTCTGTATTATTAAGATACATAATAATATATGTATGTGTGATGTTTTGTGATGGGAAAAATTACCCCTACAGAAATAAAAGCTCACTAAAACATGCTCTAAGTGCATACAGCTTGTTCCCTAAACAGATCCCTTTAAATACACAGCAGCACCTCAGTTCAGACTTGACTCTTTCCACAACTGCAGTCATAAACCCAATTGGACTAGAACCGAATAATAATAGAATGTTGACCTTATGGAGAAATTTGACTAGTCATAATGCAAACTTAAAGTGTTAGAAACAACTGCATAATATAAAAAATTAATCTCTATGTTTTTCTGCCCCATGGACACTAAAACTCTTTGGAACACGATATTGGTCTTAAGGAAAACCAAAAATCCATGGATCTCTGTATGGCACTGGCATAAAGAAGAGAAGCTGGCTGGCCTGGAAAAGCGTGACGCTGCAGCTCATTTCACAGAGGCTGCTCGGCCATGGCCCTGCAAGGAGGCCCGCTCTGGATGTTTTCTCTGCATTTAAAATCCTGGCTGGAGCCTCGGTTTATCTTTAAACACTCACGCTTGAGCAAGTTCAGACAAAGTGCTCCTCATTACAATTCACTCTGCTTCCTTTATTGTCTAGTAAATTTCCTTCACAAGGGACAAAAACAATCTGTGGACACATGAGCGCCACATCTAAAAGATGCCTGTGATGGTAGAATTGCAGGACAGCACATGCCTAGGACAGCACATGACAGACGCAGGATGGGTCACTGGACTATGTCATTGGCTCTGCAAAGCATCACACACATACCCCGGACCTCTGTCCCCGTCCCCGTCCCCACTGGACTATGTCATTGGCTCTGCAAAGCATCACACACATACCCCGGACCTCTGTCCCCGTCCCCGTCCCCCTGACATGGCAAGTCTGCAAGCATCTGCTGCGTGTATTTGCTGGGGAGATTGAAACAAACAGTTGCAATCTACTTCTACTTCTGCCCTGACACCAGGAGGCGCTGAACAAGGTGTATCGGGGTGCTTGTTGCTGTCATGAGTCTACTACGAGCCCGGCACAGTCATAACACCTTACACGTCCTCACAGCAGAGCCACAAAGACTATAATATAATTGTCCCTATTTTATAAATTAAGAGGCTGAATATCAGAAAAGACCCAGAAACAACCTCATGTTGAAGAGGCAGGAAAACAGTGAAAACCCAGCTATCTTCCTTTATGTTCTCTCCCTGAAAAGCCTGTTTGATATAGTACTAGACAAGTGTCATAACTTTAATTAAGTTTAAATTAATTATAATTAAGCTAAGTGAAAAATCTAGGTGCTCAATTCCATAGACCAGTGTTGAGACTCTCAGCCCCCATAGTTGTCTGCTGCTAGTCATAACGGTGTTGGACACCACTTCAGAAAAGGGTGTTAACATTACTGCTGCATGTTTCTCTAGGCCAGTTTAGTCTCGATTGAAAATAACTATTTTTCTTTTAAAAATTATAATAAACATTTATTAGCAAATTACCAGGCCTCTATGATAAAGACAATACATTTTTTGTAGACAAGTAACCAATTCCATTCAACAGACTGCATAGGGATGGAAAAGATGTTTATTCTCATGACCATACAGTCAGAAAATTAGAAGACTTGTCAGCTATAGTTCAGGCAGACGTTCTGCTCAAAGATAAAAATTAATGGTGTCAGGCATGGTGGCACACATCTGCAATCCCAGCACTTGGGAGGCTGAGGCAGGAGGATTGCCATAAATTCAAGGCCAGCATGTACTACACAGTGGGTTCAGATCTATGACAACTACATAGCAAGACCCTGTCTCAAAACTTATAAACAAACAAACTGATGGTGGTGAAAAAAAATCCAAAAGCCAACAGGAAAATCCCAAATAATTTTCCATCATCTCATTTACCTGTAGTACTGCATAGTCCATCAGCTTAAAGTTGCTCTTATGGTTTCTTATAAATTTGGGGATATTGTCCACTTAGCAGTAATCTTTGAAATCAAGCAATTTTCTATCTTTGGCCTTCATTTTATCCAGGAAAGCTTTCTCTTAATGAGAAGTCAAATGACGTTTTTCATCAGGTAGCCAGTGAGAGAAACTCCAGCATTCACCAGCCTGCCTGCAGATCTTCTTGCGCAGCGTTGGCTTTCGCTACCTGAGGGCTCAAAATGCACCACTGTCACAGCAGTGGCAAAGCAAGCAGACACACCATAGTCACAGCAAAGCCAAGGAGACTGCTCTTTCCTCCTGTTAAGATCAACTCTCATTTTAGGAGAAGAGATACTTGAGGCATGAGGAAAGAGACCTGGGAGTACACACGTGGAAGAAGAGTTGGGCGTCACAGAAGGAGGGCTGTCAGAGCTCGGCAGACCCAGCAGGACCACAGGGTCCTGGACCTCCTTCAGCTCCCCCAGCCTGTGCTCGCTGCCAGCTCCCCTGCCCAGTCCTCCTGTAGACTGTGAGCTGCTACAGACCTGCTGCTGAGCCACAGAGCCCAAAGACATAGTAGAAGGTTGGACTTACTGAAAAGATAAGCCAACAAATGACTGTTGGGTACCATGGCCACGAAACACCAGCCTCCTCCCTCCCCTGATAAACATTATAATTGTTGGCCCCAAGCCACTAGGCCTCATTGTTTGCCACTGCTACCATCAGCCGGCTCTGGTCCAATGTACCGTGGCCCAGGTACCAGCAGGCTTCTCCTAGCCAAGGTGACTCGGCTGCTTTCTCAGACAGAAAAGAGCTCCAGTGAGAAAAGAGGAACCAACGGCTGGACATCAGCTGACGCCTGGGGTGGTTCTCTAGGCCGCTCGCACTGCAGAATGTATTCAATACTGGAGACTATTTACGTCGCCTAAGAATTGGAGAAGCTGCTAGCTTAATGTATAGTTTGTAATTCAGTCCTTTAAAATTCTGGCTCATTATGCAAGGTTTAGGTTTAATAACCTGGAGAGTTTGGCAATATAGGCATTAATAGCCTAATTAGATCTTCCTAAATATCTACTCATATTCACTACAGTAAATGTCTTCGTGCAGCTAGCTGGGGGGGGGGGCAACAGGTGCTTGCTGCACCTGTATTTGTTCCTACTAATGCTACTTTTAAATTAAAATGCATTCTTATTTCTTTAAGAATTATGGAGACATCAAAGAGGAAATGATTTCTAGTCCACAACAACTACGAGAGGCACTTGCCTCATTGTTAAGTGAGGGCTTTGGATTGCTTCCCATAACGTGCATATGTTCCAGTTAGGAATACAGAACATTGTTCAAAATGCTGCTGAGGACATGCAGTTCTCACCCCACCACTAGCTCGGAAGGTTTGCCTTTCTAAGGTGATTTCCTTCCCAAGAAAGGAAGAAATGGAATGACGCCACGAGCATCCACTCTTTCCTGAATGCAGTGGTGAAAATCTCAGTTGCCTCCTTGGGCAAAATTGCGTCTCTTTTGTGTTCCACGTCCTGTGGGACAGCTTGGTTTGCAAGCCAATTATTTTTTTTATCTGTTTTCTGTTTTCCTCAACTGAACATTTTTATGAGCATTGAATTCTCGGGTAGAGGGCACTAAGGAGAGACACTTGAGCTCATCTCCTGCAACACTGCCCCCAGAGCCTGAGGCATCCGGGAACCGCAGCTTCTCTTCTTCTTCACACCAGCCCTTGCTGACCCAGAGGACAGCTGGCCCCAGACGTCACCTCTCTTGGGGTGAAGGAAGAGGAAGCTGCTGCTGGACCCGCCTCCCCTCGAAATGGGCATGTTCTAGCCCACCATTCTGACTTGATGGTCTATTCAGAGCTGAGTGGTATACGTTTGCTGTTGCCACACAGACTGCTTCAGAGTCAGTTCTGAGCAGTGTCCTGGCAGAGAAGCCCTAGAGAAGTGTAGACCGGAAAGCACTCATAAGCTAGACAACCTTTCCTTGACAGACAGGCCATGCCAGTGACGGCTGGAGACTCCTACAGGCAGCAGGCACATGGCGGCTAGAGTAGCATGGCTCCCAGGACAGAGAGCTGGTGACAGGCACTCCTGGTGTGACGGTCAGGAAATCCATGATAAATCCCAGTCAAGTCTGAGGAGCTACTGTGGTCCCTCCTCTAAGGTTCCTGAACAAACAGCATAATGCCCTGTCTGTTCATTGTTCTTAATCCACAGAATGTCAGTACTGGGGCTCGGAGCTCCAGCTACCAACTCTGGATTTTGGAGATGTTTTAAAAAATGATGAAGATGCGTACACGTGGCTCTCCACCCTCAAGAAAGTAGGCATCGTCCGACTCACCGGAGCAGCTGACAAACAAGGAGAAATTAAGAAACTTGGGAAAAGGATTGGTTTCCTCTATCTCACCTTTTATGGGTAAGTCACCCATGGGTTTGTGTTCTCCTGTCACAAATACAGCTGGTTGTTCTCCCCACGAGGGTGTTCCTCTGCTTGAAGAGAGAGAAATGTCCATAAAGCCCTCAGCAGGATTCCCAGTGAAAGAACGATCTGAAAGTAATATTTCTCTGGAAATGACTGGAAGTTTCGACATAACAAAGACATCAGGCTAATTATAGGTGGTGTGGTGGTCTGTCCAAGATGCTACAGCAGTGCTGGGAAGATAGCTCAGCATCTAAGCACCTGCCTGGCAAGCGCAAGAACCTGAGTTTGATCCGCAGGCCTGCATACCTGTAATCCCAGCACTGGAGAGGCTGAGACAGGGGGATCACTAGGAGTCAGAGCTGTATAGTGAGACCCTATACCAGATAGATAGACAGACAGACAGACAGACAGATATAAAAATAAAAGATTTTTTAAAGATGATATCACAAATTGCATAACTTAAGCAAAAGACACTTATTTTCTCATAGTTCTGGAAACTAGAAGCCCAAGGTCAAGGTGACCAAGGGTTACTCTCTGGAGAGGTCTGCTTCTCTGGCCTGCCAATCTCTGTCTTCCTGCTGTTTCTCTGCATGCGCTGGCCTGCATGGCATACTCCAGCTGACCCCCGTCCTCCTACGAGACACCAGACTTCCATGTTAGGCCCTGTCCTTATCAACTCGCTTGGCTTCACTACACCCTCCAGGCCTTATCTCCAGGTACATTTGGAGATAGGGTTTCAGCAGATGCATTTCAGAGAACATAATTCCATCTATAACAGGTAGGAAGAGAGATCATGCTTCTCCAATAGTTCTAAAACATATTCAACTTCATAAACGTTACAGTGCATTAAAGTTTTACCACTTGAGAGTTGGCACAAACCAAAGTTGGATTCTAGAGAATTGAAACCAGCTAGCAGAGGTGCTAAAAAGATTAAACTAGCCATGCATGGTGGTGCACATTTGTAACCCCAGCACCGGGCAGGCAGAGGCAGAATGACTGCCACAAATTCAAGGCCAGCCTGGGCTACATAATAAGACCTTAGCTCAAAAAAATAAAAATTAAACTAATATCTAGAATATTTAGGTTACATGCTCAACACAGGAACTAGAATTAATCTTAGCATCAGAATAAGAACCTATTTTTACAAGAACTTCTGGGGAAGTAATAGTTACAGATGGTGAAATGCTAATAGGATGTGCCCAGAAGGGAGGACGGGAGCTCCATTTCTAGTGTTTAAGATGAACTCCCCACACAAGGCGGGGGCACTTCTTCCTGGGCTCACAGAGTACACGACGTAGGAACAGGACCCTTGCCGTGCCCCGGCTGCAAACTGGTAGTGCGCAGCCTGTGTTCACTTGTGTTTGGTTTAGCCCACATGTTGCTGAAAGAGATGAGTCTCAGCATGTAAAAACTGGAAAAGATTAAATTTATATGAATCTGGGGGAGGGGTGAAGAATTCCAATGGCATAACAAGCGAGCGTGAAGGCCTGCGTGCCTACCGTCTGCTGGGCAGAAGCAGGAGTCGCGCTGGAGGACTTTGCCAAAGTCTTGCCTTCAGCCCTGCTAGCAGCTGAGAACTAACCCTCATCTGGAGGAAGACGTGTTCTTGAATAGCATAAAGATCAAAACCACGCGATCATCTGCCTTCCATAACTCGAGCAAGTTACTCGTGGCAGAAAACGTGGACAATCCAGTCCCCACCCACGCCCTAAGAAGTTATAAAATTTATGTGTCACCTCTACCTAAAAGACTCTGTGCTTGTTTAGAAATTGCCACAATTCTAATAGACAAAGAAAACAGGAGAAAAATTTTCTAAATCATAGGAACCTCGAGTATATTATTTGTTGTCTTACAGGATCTCTAAAACAGATGTTATCTTCCAGTTCTCTGACGAGAAATCACAGCCCAAGGAATTAATTTGCAACCCAGGTTCTCACAAGTGGTTACAAGGAGCTCAAAGTATAAACCTGGTTTTCCTGTCCATCTTTCCATTCCACTACTAATAAGATAAAGTATATGGAAAAGATGCTCTGAGGCACCGGAATAAACACAACCTTTTCCAATAAATTTATTCTAAGTTGTTTCACTTAGCTTTTATTTGCTAGTGACAAACTTTTTGCATCTATTCCAATGCATTTCACAATTCCCTAACACTGACCAAGTCGGGGCTTCTTTTTTGGAGTTCCCTGATTCCACCCACCCGCACATCCACTTCACTGTGGGTCAGAACCTTTATCCTGATTTATGATTTTGTTTTGTTTCTACAGATCCTTAAAATGGGCTAATAACTTGGCCACTGAGCTAATGTTGTGAAACTTATTGGAAAAAATACTAAAGGTCTGTTGTCAAAACAAATCAGACTTCCTACCACTGTCCCTTTTCCTTCATGCGCGACCTTCCCGTTGACTGGAGGTGCCCATCTGTCCTACCCCATCTGTCGCACCCTGCTCACACAGTCACCGTCTTCCCAGAATCTCTCAACCTGTACACATGGTGGAAAATGCCTTTCCTGCCACCTTATACCTACTTCCACCCCTGACTACCCAAATCTCTCCTTTTTGGATGATTTTTAGTTCCCTACCTTAAGACCTTGCAGCGAACAGTTTTGTGGATGTGGCTGTCACTGCTTAATTGGCTTTTGTTGCTGAGAGAGTAAAACAAGGACTATTTGCTCTGGGACATCACTCTTTGCCACTTTCCTGCTTCACACGTCAGGGAACAACGCGGAAGCACAGGTAACCCGGATTTAAGGAAACACTAGGGATACACTGATATCCATTAGTGTTGTAAAATGGTGGTTCTCAGGCTTAGCTACATATGGGAATAGTTCATTTTAAGAACATCCACATTGATGACGACCTGCACAGTTTTCTCTAACAGGACAGGTGTCCGGCCTGAGTGCCAAGCTCAGCACACGACGCTCTGTGCAGCCACAGTTGGAATCTGTGGGAAGCCCGGCTGTTCTGAGGCAGGAAGGCAGCAATTGCAAGGGAACCCTGTGTTTCCATGCTGCACATGCTCGTCCTGTGTTCACTTACGGGCTTCTCTTGTGCTCTTCGATGTTCTTCACATCTGGGCATCAACTGCGTCCTTACCAGAATCCATGGCTGCTTTAAACATGGCCCTCATCTTTCAGATCTTTGATTCTACATTTCTAAAGTGCCTTACTCTTGTCTGAGACTGCCTGGCTGGTGAGTGGTTGAGTGAAGGAATAAACAAAGCCAGCAGGGAACTGTCAAACAGAGCAAGGAAGTGTCAAAACAGAAAGGGCAGGGAAAGGAAAGAAGGAGCAAGTTGAAGGTAAACCTGCTTTTCAGGCAGTTTTATCCAGGAATACATAAAGAATAATAATTGGCTGTTGGTGGCACCTCAACGCACTTGCTTAAGAACAGAACACCTTGCAACACTTTCCTGCTTGCAGAGTTACTTACTTGGAGAATTTTAAATGCCTGAGTCTAAAATGAGAATATACTAGATGCTCTTAGTTCTTGGCTGTGACCTCAGCTGTTAAGTGGTTGGTTGGAAGAATAAGAGACAACAGTTTCCAGAATTTCATGTTGTCTTCGTACATAGTAGGCAAGGAATAAGTGTTTAATGAATAAATGCATGCCTCGATGTTTTAAGGGCCTATAAAACAGCAGATGGATGCAATGATTGCTGCCGTCTTTCACAATTACAAACTTATGTTTGACTAACTCCAAATGGTAATCGATGTCAGAGCAAGTGTGCTCCACACTCGGCTCATCTGTGTCCCCGGGGTGCTTGTCACTGTCTTGTCAGCACATCACCCAGACAACATCTTTCCATGGGACTATGTCAAATGCTTTGTCACCCTCAGGCCTTACGATGAAAGCTTTCCTGAAACAGGAGGATCAAAGCTGGCCTATAAAATTCCCAGTCAGTTGGGTGTGGTGGTGCACACCTGTAACCCCGACACGTGGGCGGCTGAGGCAGGAGGATCGTTGTGAGTTTGAGACCAGCCTGGGCTACAAAGTGAGCTCAAGGCCAGCCTGAGCTACGTAGGGAGACCTTGTCTCAAAAGACTAAGAATAATAATAATAATAATAATAATAATAATAATAATAGAAACAATAGATCTTGATGATTTCCAGATTTCATCTCATGTAATTGCTGCATAACCTTTATAAGGCCACAGTTGTTGAAAAAATATAAATACTTTGAGGCGTTTCCTTCCAGAGAGTTTAAGGAACCACGGAGCACCAAACTCACAAAGCATCTGTACTCCATTACTGCCCCGAGAGCAGCCCACGGAACCCAGGAGACACGGACTTTAGTCACGGCTTCCCGGGAGGCCATGCACAAGGGAGAAGTTATCTAAGCTTTTCGTGTAATGTCCCAGGTACCACCAGCCCCCTCCACTGAGTTCCCTGCTGAGAACGTGCCTCGCTCGCCCTTCCTGAAGCAGTGCCTTAATGCCTGCCACAGCCTGGAGGGCCTGAGTAAACACTTGCTGGAAAAGCGTTGCTGCGGCTGCCACTGGTTTGCGTCTGCGTGAGCGCTTCGCAAGCAGGCTTCTCCAAGTGAGCAAAATAAGGTCAGGGGGAGAAGTCTCCCGCGGGCCACCTCTGGAGCACACCAGCCAGACCACGTAAGAATTAAGATGTCCAAGTGGCCTCTGAGGAAGTCGGCAATAGCCTGTCCAGCACCCCGATTCTGCAAACCTTTCTGAAAGCCGTCTGAAGCCAGCCCTGATGCATTTCACATGTTAGGCCGTGTAAAAGCTGAGTGTAGCTGAGTGGATGTCCCAATGCTGGACATACCTGGCACCAGCAGGTATCAGCAATATGGGAATAGGACAGGAAAAGAAAAAACAAATTTACCTACTTTTTTGAAATTTTTAATCAAGAAATTTCTTGAGAAAACCACACAGTCCTTCTTGAATAAAAATGGCTTGCAGGTTATAAAATACCAACCTAGAAGATACTCAGACTTGGGAAGAAAAAAAAGAAAAATCTCTGAGTTTTGAACTCAGC